CCCCATTGTTTATTCGTTGACATGGGAACATATGCTTTATAACATTCCTGTATTTTGTCTTCCATCAAGTAGTTGAGTTAAATATGTGGATAATTAGAATTAGTCTCTTGGTGCTTGCTCTATTTGACAGCAGTATAGAAGAGCAGTAGGAGCTTGGCCCCACACATCAGACTGCATATGGGTGCACATCCCATCCCGGCCACACAGGGCCTCAGCCAATCAGTATAAAGATGGCACCTGTTTCACAGGATGGTTGTGAGACTCAACTGAGGTTATATCTATAAAGTGAAAGAATGCCTGACCTGTCCTGGACCATTTTTGTCATCATTATCATCACTGTTGTCATCAGGCGGATTTGCTGGCAGATTTGGGTAGTTGCCATACTAATCTTTGAATTCCTTTAACATAATTCAGGCTCATTTATTGGATTAGGGAGCATAACTCTGCAGATTCTAAATTATTCTCTCCAGGAAGGAAATTCAGCCATTTGATATCCTAGGAAGAGTAGGAGTTTTAGCATCCATCAGATCTGGGTTCAAACCCCAGCTCTGCCATTGACTCTTCTGAAATCAATTGTCTATAATAAAGGAATAAATATGAAGGATAAACCATAACATGTGAAAAGGATGCCAGCAAAGAGCCTGGCACATGGTGAGTACTCAAGAAGTCTCCTTCCCTTTATGAACTGTAAAGTACTCAGCTTTTATTTTGAATATTGGAGCTAATGCTTTGTTTCATAGGCATGGTTTAATTTTGAGCTTATTCAAATTATAGATGGAATAAAAGGTGTGTGTTCAGGAAGATTAATATGCAAACCCACAAACAATCTCAGAAGTTGAGTTTAATAGCTCCACATTATTTTCACTAGGAAAATGGAATTTTCACCCAGCTCATAATCATTTAGAGTCAGTCCATTAGTCACTTCATTTCTCACTGAAACTAGTTTTCTGGGATTGGGTGGACTCTGATGAGAAATGGTATGTACTCACCTCTGGCAGACTTTGGAAGGTACCTTATTGTAACTAATGGACAAATCCTAGAAAGAAGATCAAAAAGGAATCCTGTCTCTAGTTAAATGCCATCAATCAGGATTAGGGAAACAGCGACACAAGACCTACACAAAATTTAAAGCATTCTAGACTCTGGCTCTGTCAGAGAGTTCCAGAGTTTCTAGGCACAATGCAACTGTGGTAGGGTCCCCTCCCTAAGGAATGAAAAAAAAAATGCTTTAAGGCAACCTGGTTATGTGCATACATGACATCCCTCAAGACCTTGTAACATGAGACCACTTAATCAGACTGCATGTTTGTATATTACCATATATGGGAGACAAAGAAAGCAATACAAAAAACTACACCACGTGGCATTCGGGGCTCAGTTCTTTGGGTACAAATCCCAACTGAGCAGTGACTGCATGAATAAAGTTGCTTCCTAGAAAGAAAAGCCTCCGTGTCACGACTCTGTGTGAGAATCCTACACAAATATAGTAACTCAGATGTTGAGAGGCCTCAGTGAAGAAAGAGAATGTACACAAAAGTCTCATCCTGTGCTTTATTTTTAATTTTTTAATGTTTATTTTTGACAGACCAAGCATGAGTGGGGAGAGAGGCAGAGAGAAGGAGACACAGAATCCGAAGCAGGCTCCAGGCTCTGAGCTGTCAGCACAGAGCCCCGACACAAGGCTCAAAACTCACGAGCTGTGAGATCATGACCTGAGCCGAAGTCGGATGTTTAACCAACTGAGGCACCCCGATGCCCTGTGCTTTACTAGACACCAGGGTCCGTGTTGAATCCTAAGCTGGGGGAGGGTGAACTCCAGAATGGCTGATGTGTCCAACCTATCATCTGCTGGTAGAGCCTTATCCCCTTTTCCCAGCTGAAAGCACACAAGGTCTTCATCTTTGATAGGGAGGAGGTTAACTGGTTGAGTTCTCTTACTTCCATTTTAGCTTCCA